GATTGCACCGCTGAATGGCCCGATACGGCGGTTATGTCACCACGGTTTCATACGACGAGTCGAGCTCGTCGGTTTCAACTATGAACAACGGATGCTATATATGATAAGAGTCGTCCATTGGTATCGATAAATAAGATTGCTTGTGGGAGCCTATAGAAGGATAGGCTTAAAGGTAGCATGGTGAACGAACGAAGGACCTAAAATATTCACTTTGGTCTTAATCTTTTCAACGGGTTTGCAGCCGCAACGAGGCTTCTTCTAATCTACGTCCTTCTTGCCATGCCACCTCCTGGGGAGTGGTAACTATTATCGCTGGGAGTTTAACATGAGGATGACCCTGTCAATAAAGGGTCTCCTGGGGCACACTATAGCCGTCAAGGACAATGCCAAGGCGCTTGGCATCATCGCGCAGGGTGTCGAGATTCAACACCATACCAAGATTTGGTCGGCTACGCGTGCCATAGAGGCCGGGGGGCCCTCCGTATTTTTACAGTCGCTCGACGCTACACAATTGTGTGATGATGACGCGTCGACTCCACGATTTCAAGATGAAAAGTGGTACAAGCATGGCAGAACAACTGGACTCTTTCGATGAGCTAATAGTAGAGCTCCACACAACGGTGGGGGCGGTAGATGATTCACGCCAGCTAGTGGTACTTCTGAGTAGTCTCCCGTCGGAGTACGAATTGATTTTATCGCTTTCTGTCCAAACCGCCCAGTTTCGCCGTCCCGGCTCCTCTGACGATTAACTTCTTGCCGTCTGCAATCGTCACTTCAACGCTTGTTTCAATACCTTCGTATTTGAACAAGTCCTATCTGTGAGGGAAAGTCGCTCCACCGTCGATCAACCATCCTGCTGTTCTTCCTTCATCAACAGCAAACACCACATCGTCACTGTTAAATCGCTTGCCGACCGGGCAGTCCCTCATTATCTGTTTGAATCTTTCGTCCATAGACCCTTCCACCCTTGAATACTCTAGCGCTTCCATTTACGCGAAATGCTTTATCCTTGGCTTCTTTTTTCTGTAGCTTCTCTAATTCATTGAGCAGTTTCTCCTTGATTTGATCAGTGTTATGTCCATTGTAATGTCCACAATGCTTCGCATGATTGAAGTTCTGTACATTCTAGAAGTCGATAGAACATTACTGTCAGTCGGTAAGCTTGCGAGCGCGACATGAATTTGGAGTTCTTGCGTTCGTCATGCGTCATATGGAAAAAGGATCAATCAATTGCGTCGGGTACAAGAATCGAAAAGATATAAACGTTTGACTGTGAGCAAGAAAAAGCATGCCTTGTGGAATGTCAGTGGGAGCTTTGGCATGCTCGCATGGGACACCCAAGCAAGGATGCGCTGGTCAAGACGCAGATCTCGACGAAAGGCCACCCACCTAAACAGCAAGACACGGAAACGTTGATGTGCCGGATGTATGAAGGGCAAGCAGACAGTCACCACATTTTCTTCAGATATAATTGCGAAATAACTAGTGTACTCGAGCGCGCACACACAGATGTCGTGGGACCAATGTGGACTCCATCGAAGAGTGGTGCCAAGTACCTTTTAACGTTTGTAAATGATATTTCAAGGAATGTGGCGATATTCATGATCGATAGCAAGAGTGAAATGGCTGGCAAGCTCAAGGTATTCAAGACGTTCTATGAAAATCAGTGGGGTACACGTCAGTGGGGTACACGTCTGAAGGGTTTATGATCCGACAACGGAATGGAGTTTGTCAATAAGACAATGGCTGACATATATCAACAAAGCGACATTACGCAGCAGCGTTCCGTTCCATGTAGCCCTCAGCAGAACGGAGTGGCAGAGCGTATGAACAGGACAATCATGGAGAAGGCCTGGAATATGCTGTATTGAACGGCCGTTTCGACAGAATGGTGGGCGGAAGCGGTGAATACGACAGTTCACCAAATAACCGCTCTTCCAATACAGCCCATCCTGGTATCGTACCTTACGAGTTGTTTTCAGGGTGAAGCCCCAAATGGATCACTTGCGCGTGTTTGGCTCACAACACTTCGCTCATCGTATGAAAAACTGAGCTGGATCCCAATAAGTTCAAGTGTATGTTCTCTGCTCCGCGAAAAATATCAAAGGCTATCGCGTGTTTGACTTGGAAAATGCCAAGGTAAAAGTGATCCGTACTGTGAAATTGGTTGAGAGTGAACTCGATGGCATCTACGACACTCAAGCGCTAAAGCCAGAAATACTTATCTAATTAATCAAGGACAATGATGAAGTCAGGACTTAGCATCAAGTGGATAGATAGATAGCCAATAGTGGACAACGCCATTGAAGCTGTGAAATAGCCAGTCATAGATGTGGAAATGGGCGATATCGAGCGAACGCTAATCGTCGATGTACATCAACTAATGCCTTCTAAGCGGTCATCAAAAACAGGGTGGAGATAACGGACTACCATCCACCGTCTCAAATTAAATAAGAAAATCGCTTGGTGTTTCGACTTGAGGTGGAAGGCGTGAGCCGGTGGTGGTGTTAAGGAACGGCTCAGATGGTGATGAGTCAAGGCAAGGCAGTGACGGTCCACTGACTCCAAAGCGTGCTACGATTGATGAAGATGGACTAAATGCAGAAGCTATTCTGGCTTACGCTGTGAACATTGACGATAACACCGACTTTCCTATGGTAGCGGACATCTTAACTCTACAACTGTCTCAATTGGTTTTTGCAGGTTTAG